ACAATACAGGACAATATTCGAGGCTACAGAATACAATACAGGACAATATTCGAGGCTACAGAAAACAATACAGGACAATATTCGAGGCTACAGAATACAATATAGGACAATATTCGAGGCTACAGAAAAGTTTGTATCATGTAAAATAAAAACTAAAAATATCAAATAACGTTGTACAGAACTATAGACCATCCCATGTAAGTTGTAATTTTGAATGAATGAAAACACATAAAGGAAATTTTCTAAAGCTTATATCTTGCCAACCTAATGGTGTAAGCCTTTTATATTTCAAGCTTGAACTAACACAATTCATAGTTTCAAATGTCTAAGGTCTACGACATTGGGTTCTAAAGATATAGGGATTAAAAAAATCAGAGTTTGTGGCAAAGACTCAATTCCTTTCCCCAAAAGGGGATGGTTTATTTTGCCTAATATTATAGTCTGTGTGTGTACTGTACACTTATCTTGCTCTAGCTACTTTAAGGTCGGCCTGGTACTTGAAATAAACTGTAGTTTACAGTGAAAAGGGAACATTCTCGGCTAGTTATTATCATCTTTCTGTAGAAAGTCGTGGGGAGAACATGTCAATTTTCGGATGAAAAATTTGAATTTAAATTATCACAATTTTTAAAGATTTAGAATGTATATTTTATCATATATAATAGGAAATCAGTTACAATGTTTAAGATTTTTAGTTTTTTGTCTTTAGCGAACCTACAGCTAAGATTTAAAAAATTGATGCACTGTTTTACTTCTCGGTTTTGTTATTTATAACAGTGAAATCAGATATAAAACTATGGAATCATGGTTGTCCGACTTTTTAAAAAGATGTTTATGACACTTTTATTTTATAATCTTGTAAAATTAATTTTTATAACAAGTTAAAAATTTAAAAGAGATTTAAAAGGCATTTTAAAATCTGATTAGAAAATGTTTTACAATATCTGAAGTATCATAAAGTATGTGTAGTCTAATTATAAGTTATTCTATATTTGATGAAGAGGTAACCCTCTTTCATTTGAGTTAAATGATAGATTCACAACGGTACCTTCCCACATTGGTCTTAGTAAAAGTGCCGGAAATATCGACGTTTTCCGCCGTTTTCGGCGTCAAACATTATAGAAATCCAACGCATAGAAATCGCTAGGTATAGCAACAAGGCGTATTTTCCGGGAGAATATTTATTTTGAGAAATTAAACGTTTTTGTAAAACATTGTAGCTTATCATCATCATTATCATTATCATTATTTCTATTTTTTTAACATACCCTAGACACTATGTAACTAACTAGATTAATATGTACATTTTTGTACGGCTCTCTATTGTCTTTAAGGTCCCCCACAAATTTTATTATGTACTAACAAAATAAATGAATGATAATATGGTTGCATAAAATTGCGTGTTACTATTTAAAAAAAAACTATTTTATGAAAATGATATGTACAGTTTTATTTTTTAAAAGAAAATTCTCAAAACCTAAGAAAAAAGTTCTCAAGTAATGTTAATATGATTTCATAAAATTCCGTGTCAACATTAAAATAAAAGGATTTTATGAAAATTATATCTACTTTCTATATGTTGGATTTCTATACGTTGGATTTCTCTATGTTGGATTTCTCTATGTTGGATTTCTCTACGTTGGATTTCTCTACGTTGGATTTCTATACGCTGGATTTCTATACGTTGGATTTCTCTACGCATGGATTTCTATACGTTGGATTTCTATACCTTGGATTTCTATAAGTTGGATTTCTATACGCTGGATTTCTAAAAGTTGGATTTCTATACGTTGGATTTCTATACGTTGGATTTCTATACGTTGGATGGATTTCTATACGTTGGATATCTATACGTTGGATTTCTATACCAAGCAATTTCTTTACGTTGGATTTCTACATGGATTTCTATACGTTGGATTTCTATACGTTGGATTTCTATACGTTGGATTTCTATACCGAGCGATTTCTGTTCGTTGGATTTCTATAATGTATGACGCTAATGTTTTCCTTTCTTAGAATTAATCATTTTTAATAGCGCGCGGTTTCTTATAAAAAAATATCTTTATAATTTCTGCTGAGATGATTATTTTAGGGACACCATTATAAATCTGGCATGTAATTCTTTCAATTGAAATTAAGTACAGTCCTTTTTTTGTAAAAAATTAGTGTTAAATATGAATTATAAAATACTTATTTGTTTCAACGTTTTTGTTGTTACAGATGAGGGTTAATTCTCTAGTTGTTATATTCCTGGGACTTTGCAGCTTGCAACATGTAACAGAAGCTTTAATTCCTCTTGTAGCAGGAGCTTTAGCTCTTACCTCAGCTCAGGTCTGGTATCATCATTATTATTGTTATCATTCAATATATTTTTTTTATTAAAATGATATATTCTGAGATAAATCTTGTTCCTTTATGACTAAGTTTATATCTTTAAATAAGTTTTTAAATTGATATTATTATTATTATCTGCTTTTGTTAATTTTATTATTATTATATTCATCATTATTATTAACCTTGTAATTGTTAATATTATCGATCATTATTATTATAAATACAGGGTGTCCCAATAAACATGGGAATTCAGTGACGAATTCGATATCGTCTTTTTAAATAATTCCTTGATTTAGTATAGTGAAACCTACCGAGAAAGCTGTAATCTGTGAGAGTTTCGTCTGCTATGTACGTTCACATTTTGTTTGTTATGTTTTGACTGAATACGGTTGTACTTAGTAAAACAAGAAAATTGCAGTATACAAACAGAGTAAACTTGTCCGTCTTCACTGTTCATCTTGTGGGGACATTATAGACACATCTTTACAGTCTTTTACCTTTTCATAAAATAAACTCTAGCAGACATAATAATATTATGGCTTTTTAAATTAGGTATTACAATGCTAATTCATAAAAAAGACGATATCCAATTCGTCACTGAATTCCCATGTTTTTTGGGACACCCTGTATCATCACTTATTATAATGATCATTACATATATCGTTATTTTATAGAAAGATGACTGTTATACTAAAGTTTTGACTTTAAATAGTCCAATGAGCAATTGTGCAGTGTAAAAACCCCTTTATCCCTTAATTAGGGATTAAATAAGTAACAACATAAAGTACATTTATAAGTATAACTGTAAAGTCGTCTTCCTATTTAAAAGTTTTAAAGTTTTATCCATTACTATCATATACATGACCATGTATCATAATGATATTCATAATACAAGAATAATACTGTGAATACATTATTAACACTCATCCTGGAGTGGAAACCCGGTGCATAAAACTTTTTTGTATTATTTTCAATAAAAACTTTACATAATGGCAGCTGGTTGTATTTCTAGTTGACGGGATTAGCTACCATTGCAATTATTCTGGGTTTAAATGTTGCTGTACGAGGAGGGTAAGTGAGAACCAAATATATTTTTTTATTTTTAGGTAGTAAAACATTTTATTTTTTGACAGATGAAATCTTCGCAAAAGTTTTAAAAATTTGGATAAAAGAAGGTTTACTTACTTTTTACTATTACAATAAACATAAACAATCAAAACTTTATTTTTCCTTTTTAAAAAGACTGTACGCGTAATTTCAAGTGAACCTCTATATATAAAGATGGTTATTCGAAATTTTCAACGGTTCCCTGAAAAGAATTGTCTGATCAATAGTGAATTAGATGTTGATGCTTATCATTTTTAAAACCGATTATTTTCAGTTGTGGTTTCTTTACAAAGTGATTTACGCATTTCATTTACAACTGCACAAATGTATATATATATATATATATCACAAAGGGTTTGAAAGAAAGATGCCATCTTACCACCACTTTACAAATATTAGCACTATTCCCTTATTATATACAGTGAGACCCATTAAACTGTGGAATACGAAGACGATTTAAGCTTATATTTATATATATATAAACATATGAATTTTAAGAAGTAAATACTTTTCATTAAGATAAAGGTCCCAAGGGAACCAAGGGAACCAAGGGAACCAAGGGAACCTCTTTTAATTGTGCATTGACATCTTTGCTTGGGGGGTTTACTTGAAATTACGCTTACAGTCCCTTTAAATAAAAAGAGTAATGATGAAGAAGTTGCAAATTCTTGCAAATGAAAGTTTCATTTCAAATCATAAACCAGTGTAAAGATGTTCATCTTCTTTCTTTCATTTAGTAAGAATTATGTTTTTTTGGATCAACTATTAAATAAATACGTTATATAAATGATATTTTTCATAGAAAAGAAAGAATACGCCATTTATTTCACACCATTCTCTGTTTACCAAATCCCTGTTTAATGTTTGAATTAGCTTTGTCTAGTACTGGGCGTAAGAGATGAGCAGCTAGGGAAGCTGCTACAGATCAGATTATTAAATCTCTGTTTAATGTTTAGATTAGCTTTGTCCAGTACTGGACGTAAGAGACGAGCAGCTAGGGAAGCTGCTACAGATCAGATTGTTAAATCCCTGTTTAATGTTTAGATTAGCTTTGTCCAGTACTGGGCGTAAGAGACGAGCAGCCAGGGAAGCTGCTACAGATCAGATTGTTAAATCTCTGTTTAATGTTTAGATTAGCTTTGTCTTCTACTGGACGTAAGAGACGAGCAGCTAGGGAAGCTGCTACAGATCAGATTGTTAAAGGAAACATTACTGTTGATACATTGGCTGCTCTTGAACCTGAAGACTGCTTCCAGAGATTATTCTGCTCCGCAGCTACAAGGAGGTACAGACTACAAAATATTCGACGAAACATTACGATTGCGAGTTGTAGGCGGTATTTGGAACGGGTGTCCTAAAATTGACGGAGATTTCAAGAAATCTATCTAAATTCAACTTTATTAAATAACAAGGAAAACTTTCAAATGTTTAAAATATTCATTAACTTTGAAGAAAAGAAGGCAGACCATATTCACAAGATCAAACGAAATTCAGTATTTTTTTTTCAATACAATCAATAACAATATTTGAGGTCTTCTCTTGAAGGAAGAAACCGGCTAATGAGTGCGTGCAGTATTGTAGACCTTTTTGAGGATTTTTTTAGACCTTTTTAAGGTGTATAATTATTCATCAAGATTGATATTTTAATTTTTAAATCCTCCTGGACTGTCCATTCTGGAGGGATGATTTTAAGAATCGTTTTTTTTAAATTATTCAATAATGACGATGAAATTTTGACAAAAAATCTACAGTAAACTAATAAGTTGTTTTCAGTTCTCGATTAATTTAATTCTTGATGTTCACAAACGTCTTCTATAGATTTCATGGAATTTTTATTGAAAAGACGACATTTGAATAAATCTGCGAACAAATTTATAAAAAATAAGAAAATCAATATAATGACATGATAAAGTCACAATTGATTATACCAGTGATTTCTTCCCAAATTTATATTGAACAATATGTTTCTAACAACTAATTAGTTAACTGTAGAATTTTTGTAACATATTTTACCGTCGTTATAGAATAATTAAAAAAAAATCATCTGTAGTTCTTCTACTTCTCATCATTAATAACTTGTTACTTGAGGTTAGAGAATGAACTACTGGAGAAAAGTTTAAACCTGGTTGACCAGGCTATCCAAGTAGACCCAGAGAACCAGAATACTCTCAAATATAAATCTGCAGCAGGATTCGGAGAGACAAGGTCATTTTTTCTCAAAATAAATGAGTAAAAAAGCACAGTTTCGAAACATAATATTTTACAGAAATACAGAAAAACCAAAACTAAGATGGGTTTTACAAGGCGTAAGTGTGTAGAAACAAAATGTTTGCAGCTATATTTGCTCGTCATTCTTGAACCCTGGGGGACCTTTAAAGGCCTAAACTAACCCACAATACTGTTTTAATGGATTTTTGCAAGTTGGAAAAGAATAAAAATTGTTTTTTAAATGCAGATAGGTTACAAAAATTGGCAGGAGCAGAACTGACAGTAGTGAAATTAGATAAATAGATAGATATGTACTTCTGCTAAAATTTAGTTTTACAACAAATACATTTTTATCCAAAAATGATATGTTCACTTGGAATGATAATCCTTGAAATAAAATTTTCTAGACTAAATTTTTTTATTCTAGAAAAGAAAAACAAATGTTGAAAATATTTTACTCCAGGAAAAATGTTAAAAAAAACTTTACTCTAGGAAAAATGTTGTAAAATATTTTACTCCAAGAAAAATTTTAAAAAATACTTTACTCTAGGAAAAATGTTGTAAAATATTTTACTCCAGGAAAAATGTTAAAAAATACTTTACTCTAGGAAAAATGTTGTAAAATATTTTACTGTATGACAAATGTTGAAAAATATTAACTCTAGGAAAAAAAAATTAACTCTATGAAAATTGTTGAAAATATTTTACTCAAGGAAAACTGAAAAAAAAATATTTTACTCTTAGAAAAATGTTGAAAAATATTTTTTTCTAGGAAAAATGTTGAAAAATATTTTACTCTAAGAAAAATGTTGAAAAATATTAACACTAGGAAAAATTAAAAGAAATATTTTACTCTAGGAAAAATGTTGACGAGTGTGAAGAGAAGTTTTATTGCTCTGTTTCCGTTGAAATTTTGCAACTCTTATTCCAAGAATAATTCAGGAAATTTAAATTTTTGCACGGAATTTTCCGGAAAAAAAAATTTAATATTTTTTACCAGGTGAAAATTATTTACAATTGTAAATTATATTTTACAATTTTTTTTTCTTATTATTTTTCTAATTTAAAAATTTTTTTTTTTTATTCAAATCCTTATTTGATACTTTAATGTTTTGTTCAGTTTGGGGTAGATATCAGATAAAATCATTGAAGGGATAAAGGTTCGCTTAAAATTAATTTTTGTTGTGAAATAAAAAAAAAAATAAAAACAGGGAAATTTTTAAGAGAGAGTTGATAAGATAATAAAAAGAGTAATTCTCTATCAAAAAATTTAAAACACAAAAAATTTATAACATCAGATTGTAAAGATATTGCGAACAAAATTTAAATTTGTGGCAAATCCTCTATTCCTTAAATAAAAAACGTTTATTTCGAATTAAAACATAAACGAAACAAGATTTTTAAATCTGAAATTAGTCAGATGTACAGGGTTACCCATAAAGTATGAGATTATAAAGATAACCTTAAACTTTTAAATATAATTATTCCAAGGTTAAATTAAGTCTTCTGCCCTAAAACCAGTAGTTTCATAACTTATTTATTGATTTAAAGGGCAAAACAAGTTAACACTTGCAGGGAACCAGGAAAACAAGTTAACACTTGCAGGGAACCAGGAAAACAAGTTAACACTTGCAGGGAACCAGGAAAACAATTTAACACTTGCAGGGAACCAGGAAAACAAGTTAACACATGCAGGGAACCAAGAAAACAAGTTAACACTTGCAGGGAACCAGGAAAACAATTTAACACTTGCAGGGAACCAGGAACACAAGTTAACACTTTCAGGGAACCAGGAAAACAAGTTAACACTTGCAGGGAACCAGGAAAACAAGTTAACACTTTCAGGGAACCAGGAAAACAAGTTAACACTTGTAGGGAACCAGGAAAACAAGTTAACACTTGCAGGGAACCAGGAAAACAAGTTAACACTTGCAGGGAACCAGAAAAACAAGTTAATACTTGCAGGGAATCAGGAAAACAAGTTAACACTTGCAGGGAACCAGGAAAACAATTTAACACTTGCAGGGAACCAGGAAAACAAGTTAACACTTGCAGGGAACCAGGAAAACAAGTTAACACATGCAGGGAACCAAGAAAACAAGTTAACACTTGCAGGGAACCAGGAAAACAATTTAACACTTGCAGGGAACCAGGAAAACAAGTTAACACATGCAGGGAACCAGAAAAACAAGTTAACACTTGCAGGGAACCAGGAAAACAAGTTAACAATTGCAGGGAACCAGGAAAAATTCCATCCTTTTTGGGTAACCCTGTACATATACGAAACACACTGGTTTTTCATTGATAAACTTTGTTTCAGGTCGCATGATAGATTGGAGACTTGCTCGAACATTAACTACAAATATAAATAGTTAAATCCATTTGTTAAAAGTTTATTCTTTATTCTGAGAGAATTAATATTTCGTTGTCAAAATTATAAATTTTAACACGACCCCCCCCCATAGTATTTTTTAAGACAATACGTCTTTAAGAGAAACCTACTTATATTTTTGACATCTTGATTTTTACCACAGTTTAGTATGCAAGTAAGAAAAACTCAGACATGTTTTTAGAATTGAAAATAATTTATAAATACAATGTGTCCAAAAAAATAATACAAACATCAAATGTATGTGTCTTTTATAAGAGACAATGTGATCTTTACTTTATCATGTTTATTGGGACACCCAGTAATTAAAAAAGACAGTTGAACAAAAAAAGGTTTATTTAACCTACTTCTGACCTTTAGTGTATTCTTCATTATAATTTGTTAAATTAGCGTTATTTATTTATTTATTTATGAATAAAAATTTGAAAATTATCTTTATTTTTGGCAAAATTACAATTTACATTGACAGATTACAAAGTTTAACTATGGGTTGTTTAAAGGAACTGGACATGAACAATTGATCCCACAATTACAAACAAAACCTTAATACTGAATACTGAATACTAAATACTAAATACTGAATACTGAATACTGAATACTGAACACTGAATACTGAATACTGAATACTGAATACTGAATGCTGAATACTGAACACTGAATACTGAATACTGAATACTGAATGCTGAATACTGAATACTGAATACTAAATACTAAATACTGAATACTGAATACTGTATACTGAACACTGAATACTGAATACTGAATACTGAATACTGAATGCTGAATACTGAATACTGAATACGGAATACTGAATACTGAATACAGAACCCTGAATGCTTAATACTGAATACTGAATACTGAATACTGAATACTGAATACTGAATACTGAATACTGCATACTGAATACTGAATACTAAATACTAAATACTGAATACTTAATACCAAATACTGAAAACTGAAAACTAAATACTGAATACTAAATACTAAATACTTAATACTGAATACTGAATACTGAATACTGAATACTGAATACTGAATTCTGAATACTGAATACAAAACACTGAACACTGAATACTTAACACTGAATCCTGAATACTAAAACTAAATATTAAATACTGAACACTGAGTACTGAATACTGAATACTAAATACTAAATATTGAATGCTGAATGCTGAATTCTGAATACTGAACACTGAATACTGAATACTGAATACTGAATACTGAATACTGAATTCTAAATACTGAATGCTGAACACTGAATACTGAATACTGAATACTAAATACTGAACACTGAATACTGAATACTGAATCCTGAATACTGAATACTGAATACTGAATACTGAATACTGAACACTGAATACTATATAATGAATACTGAATACTGAATACTGAATACTGAATACTGAATACTGAATACTGAATGCTGAATACTGAATGCTGAATACTGACTACTAAATACTGAATACTGAATACTGAATACTGAATACTGAATACTGAACACCATAAATACCAAAACACTGAAGTTTCAATTAAATAGGTTTGAATTTAGAAGTTGCCCGGGGCTCTCTTAGTCTATGCTGTCAATATTAAATTCACAAAATCTCCAAAAAATACAATTGAGCAGGATAGAAAAATGAATTTATTCTGTCATTTATTCTGTAAAGTATGTACTTTGAATAGAGTGAAATTTTAGGCTGTTGCCAATATCATTCAGGATAATCTGAATTTTAATCATTTGTTAAATGTAAAGTATTTTGTTTATATCATAAAGGAACTGAGTATTTGCCACAAATTCTGATTTTCTAATCCTAATATCTTTTTAACCTGATGGCAAACCTTTTGTTATTTTAATTTTAGGTTATATGATCCAACCAAATTCAAAGTTTGAAATATCTAGGGTCTGTGATATTGGGTTGTAAAGATATAGAGATTAAAAAATCAGAGCTAGGGGCATAGACTTAATTCCTTTGTGCATTTCAAAACAATACATTTCCTAATAAAAGGCATTTGAGCAGAGTCGACTTTTTTTGTGACACATTTTAAGACTTATTTAACCCTATTTCTGCTGGGGGGGGGTCAATTTGACCCCCCCCCCTGTAGTTTTTTTTACATAACTCAAAAAGTATTGGTCTGAGGCTGTTGAAATTTTCTGACTTTTCTTACATACCCAAAGCCCTCCCTTTAGGCCTAAAACCGGGCTTTAATACTAACTGCCTGAGTCCTCAGGCACACTGCCTGAATGACTGCTTTT